AAGAAAGGGAAAGGGAAATGAAAAGAGACTAGAAAAAAAATAGAAACATAAAAATTAATGTTATTATAGAGATTAAAAGACCATCTATTTAGAGAGGAATGTGAATATGTTGAGAAAAAGGGAGGGACATAGAGGAGATGTGAAAAACTTTAAAAAAATGCTTAAAATATTATATAGGTATAAAGAGGTAGTACTGCTATTAATGAATTTAAGTCTCAGAGGTTTTGAATTGAGTAATAAGTTTGTAAATTAAGTGTGTACACAATGGGGGATAGGGTCTACTAGTTAACTACGGGTTTATCTGAGGATGTGCAGGACAAGAGTTAAGTCACATAAAGAAGAACAAAAGAGGAAAGGTGGAAATGATAGGAAAGTGAGAAGAAATGATCAGAAGTTCAGTAGAGCTAGACAAAAAACAAAAAGATAATTGAGAATGAAAGACAAAGAGAAAGAAGACAAGAAAAGAAAGGAAAACACACATTCACGTTATTCCTAAAATAAAAATTATGAGAAAAAAAAAAGTTACTGGAAAACAATTATTTTTTCAAAGAGGCAAAAATTAAAGATTAATAAAAGTTTTAGAAAAGGAAAAAAATTTTTTTTATATATATAAGGTAACAAAAAACGAGACAAAAAAAAACAAAAGAAAAAAAGAAAAGAAGAAGAAAAAAAAATTCTTTAATTTTTTTTTTTTTTTGGTAGGGGTGGGAAGAGTCCTGTATGTCCCTTTTGTCTGTAACCAGAGTCTGGTTGGAGTCTCTGGTCAGCTTGAGGTCCTGTGGCTTGATTGGTTTCTTAAGTCAGTTTGTTGGAACAGGCAGAAAAATGCTCTGCTTTACCCAAGATTTTGAGATCCCCCTCCCAGGTTAGTTTACTGGGAGGGTGATCTGCTTTGAGAATCACACAAGAGAGGGATGCAGTGATGAGGCTAGGTTCTGGGTAGAGTTGAGGCCTTTCAACAAACAGTAGCTTTTCCCTGGGGCTATTTTGTGAAAAAAAACTCACAGCACCCAGCCTGGAGCCATTCTCAGGGTTTCTGTTTTTCAACTGATTGTGGTGGCTGCTAGAGGGAGGGGCAGCCTCTGGCTCTGGTTACCCGGTGAGGAGAGCCACTCCAATGGCTGGCGCCTGAGCTGGGTGACTTTTCCCTGGATGGAACTGAGTCTGTGAGGTCACTTCGCCGTTAAGTTCTTGTGACCTGCTAAATGACTCGTTTTATTCCAAGGCCTGAGCTGGAGCTAGCCGCTCCTCCGAGCTTTGTCGGTATCCAAGATGGAGATCACCGTGCTGGGGGGGGAGGGGTGGCCTTCCCTCCTCTGCTCCCTGAGAAGGAGTGAGGAAGTCGGGCTTCTACTCACACGGACTCTTGGATCCTGGGTCGTCTCTGGTGTGCAAAGTGCAGGATGAAGTTGTCCGCTCCTTGTTGGTTCTTGCTGGTGTTGAGTAGAATCCGCTCGTCCGCTGCGTCTGGCTCCTTCGTCCCGGACTGCGTCTCAGGTATGCCTCCGCGGCGGTGGTCGCCGCTGCGACCCTGCCGCCGCAGCGGCAGCTGCTCAGATGTGTCTGCTTGGCTTCCCCTCTCTTGACTAACTCTCTGTCCTGTGATGGCACACTTGGTGTGATTCTCTGGCTTGGGACTGTTCACTGGAACTCTGAAACTGTTTTCTATGCAAGAGCTTGTTCAGATTCCAGCTTCTCCTCCGCCATCTTCCCGGAACTCCAGGTTGACCAATTGTAACAATGAAATGTACAAGATGAACTTTACAACCCCATGCAGGGGAGTGGGTGAATGGTAGGGGAAAAACAAAGGAGGGGATAACAATTCGATAGGAATGGTAATCATTACTTTACTCATGTAACTGTAACACCCCTGTACAGTATGTTTATAATATATATATATATATATATATATATATATATATATATGTTTAAAAAGACAGTATGTTGGAAATGAACTTTTAGACTTGGTCCGGGGAATTCTAGGGGCCAAGGGAAAGTGGGAGAAAAACGAGGGAAGGTGTAAAAATGTTCAACAAAAATGTACTCATTACCATATATATCTATATATCTGCAACCCCTCTGTATATTACCTTGCCAATAAAAGTAAATTAAAAAAAATCTGGGCACCATAGTGCATACCTGTCATCCTAGCTGTGCGGGATATGCAAATAAGTGAATTTTTGTATTGGCTAACTTGGGCAAAAGATGAGACTATAAAATATAAAAAATAGAAGAAAAAGATTGAGGTGTTTCTTTCTGAAAAGAGCAAAGATAATTTATTGGAAAAAAAGAGACAGTATAAAATAAATGTCAACTGGGCAATCATATGCAAAAGATTAAAAAAAAAAGAAAATCTAGACCCAGATCTTATATACTTCATAACTCATAGCTCAAATTGATTATGACCTAAATATGAAACCTAAATATAAAACTTTAAAAACATTTTTGTTGTTATTATAAAGGTGGTGTACAGGTGGGGGTACTGTTTCATAAGATTGATAATGAGTACATTTTTTCTTGGACAGTCCTTTGTTCTCTCATAGTTTTTCCCTTCTGTACCCACCCAAAAGCTGTATGTATAGTTCATTTTCAACATGGTTTCTACTGTGTACCACTGTTGCATTGGTTCACTCCATGTCTCTCCATATTCTTTCCCGATCGACAGACCTGTTGGAACCATCTCTTCACTGTGATGGTAATTATTTACTGAAAGTGTGGATTCTTTCGCTGAAGTCGATTACGATGAGATTTGTTACTTTTTATTTGTTCTGAATATTTCAATTTGAGTTTCCCAAATGTTTGTTGATAGATTTCTAAAACCTTTGTGCAAAATAGCTATCAAAGGACATGACCCTATGCTCATTTCCAATCTGTATTGTATAAGCTTTTGTCTCACAAGTTACAGTTTAGTCTCCAGCTTTATGACTTGCTTACAAACAAATTATGAGAAAATTTTAAACAAATGCATAAGTAAAGTTGGCCAGGCGCTGGCGGCTCACTCCTGTAATCCTAGCTACTGAGGAGGTTGAGATCTGAGGATCACAGGTCAAAGCCAGCCCAGGCAGGAAAGGCCATGAGACTTTTATCTCCAATAAACCACCACAAAACTGGAAGTGGGGGGCTGGGAAGGTGGCTCAGTGGTAGACGCTTGCCTTGCATGCATGAGGCCCTGGGTTCGATTCCTCAGCACCACATATGCAAAAAGAAAAAAGCCGGAAGTGGCGATGTAGCTCAAGTGGCAGAGCGCTAGCCTTGAGCTGAAGAGCTGAAGGACAGCACCCAGGCCCAGAGTTCAGGCCCCACGACTGGACCCAAAAAAACAAACAAAAAAAAAACTGGAAGTGGCACAGTGGCTCAAGTGGTAGAGCACTAGCCTTTAGATGAAGAGCAGAGGGACAGTGCCCAGGCCCAGAGTTCAAGCCCCATGACAGACAAAAAAGAAAGAGGAGGAGGGTTGGGAAGGTGGCTCAGTGGTAGAGTGCTTTCCTTGCATGCATGAGGCCCTGGTTTCAATTCCTCAGCACCTCATAAGCAGAAAAAGCCAGAAGTGGCACTGTGGCTCAAGTGGCAGAGTGCTAGTCTTGAGTTGAAGAGCTGAGGGACAGCACCCAGGCCCAGAGTTCAGGCCCCATGACTGCCAAAAAAAAAAAAGTTGATAGTTGTCTCACCCCCAAGTGTACTCATTACTTACCTTCAATGATGATAAGCTTATCTTGTTTCATTTATAATATACCTCACCTACTCTTTTTCCTCCTTCCCAGTATTATTTTAGAGAAAGTATATGAACATTTTATTCATCAATAATTCAAAATATACCTGTAAAACAATATTACCAAGTTTTGTTTCTCCAGTTTTTTTTATTGCTCAGTTTTTAGATACTGTTATGTTACTCAGACTAAGTACTGGAGTAGAAGGGTGCTTTAAGTATTTACAAGTACTCTGTTAGCAAATGAAATATTGTCCCAATTCTTTGTATTCACCAGGTAGCTGATTAACTAATTTTTACTTCATCCTACACAAAAAAGTAGAGGGCACATGGCTTCTTGAATAACACTAGTGACTATTAGTAGATCAACCCTGTGTCCTTTGTTTTTATCATCCTTTCAGAAAGCTATGGTAAAGGTTTTTGTTTTCCTTCTTATGTTAATGAATTGAACTTCACTAATATTTTACCTGACTAAGCCATTCTTTGTCCAGCATCCTTATGTTCATGTGACCCACGCCCCTGTCTCCCTTACTGTCTCTGTCATGTTGGGTCTTCTTTTTTTTTCTTTTGTTGGTCGTGGGTCCTGAACTCTGGGCCTAGGCACTGTCCCTCAGCTCTTCAGCTCAAGGCTAGTGCTCTACCACTTGAGCCACATCCATTTCCAGCTTATTCTGTGTATTGGTGCTGAGGAATTGAACCCAGGGCCTCAGGCATACAAGGGAAGCATTCTACTACCACTGAGCCACCTTCCCAGCCCTCATGTTGGGTCTTCTTGAACCCTCCATCAAATGCCTTGCACAGCATTACCTATTCACTACATTTATTTTAAAACAGTAAGTTTCTTCAAAAATAACTCAATAACCCTGTCTGGAGGCCTGATTCCTATGATTGTAAGCATAGTCTGTAAATCTACAAGATAAAGGAAAAGGTTTAACATTATTTAAGCAACAGAAAGCTCACAAAAAAACATACTCTATCCCTGCCTTTGTCTCTTCCTCTGATAGTGCATATCTTTTAGAAGTCAGCTTCTTCAACTATTGGGTCAAACCTTCCAGAAGGAAAACTTGCAGATATTACCTTGGGCATAAACTAAACTTATCTGCCACCTTTTGTTTAAGTAGTAGGTTTTTCCCTCTCCTGATACTGGACAGGGGTTTAGTTCACTGCCACAAAGTGGTCTGCTGAATCTGCTCTCCTCATACTTGGGACAAGTATGTGATGTTATTTCATGGTACCATATGTCTGTGGAGTGTCATGAAGTAAATTTTCTAAATGTCCTTTTCCTGGCTTTCTAGAAGAATATCACTGAGCAAGATCATAAGCAGTCCCTGCAGCTCACATTCCATTCACTGTGCACATATTTTAGGTAAGTTCGATTCTCCTCAATTATTGAATAATTCTAACATCTGTAGTTATTTTTCTTTAACTAGTCCTTCCTTCTGTGCTTTCGGAGTAGTGCTTCTCCTACCCAGAATTTAGAGAGATTCTCGAGTTCCTACTAGGCATGAGAATGACTAAAATAGTGATAGACTGATACTCTTCTCAAGACCTTAATCCAAGGCCCTTATAAGACAAGGTAGTATTGAACCCAGTGAAAACTTCTTCAGACCTTCAGTCTCTAATTAAATATCAAAGACAAAAACTAAAACCAAAAGAGTTTGGGGTCCTCAGTCTTCGATTACAACAACTGAAAATGCAGAGTAGTAATGTATAGAAAGAAACATTCCAGGAAGAGAGTATATGGAGACTTACAGTCCCATCAGAAAAGCAGATGGGACTGTAGAGTTCCTTAATGGAGGCACAGACTCTTGAAGGAGGGAGGGAACTGAGCATCTGCTTACAAGTTGGACTATCTGGTATGGATGACAGATTTAGGGCTATTTGTATAAAATGCTTTCAGAATCAGTTAACGAAGATGATGATAGGTCCTGGAGGTGTTGCATGAAGAACATTTGAAGATACAGGGATTGTTAGCCTGGATTGTTGAGTTACGAGTCATGATATCAGATATATTTAACACTTATATCAAGGTATTTATGTGCCTGTGCTTTTGGAAGGACATAGGACATAGTCCTAGTTGTAACTACCATTTGTCTTCCTGACCCAGTCCCCTCTATTTCATAGAACTGATGCTGATATCTCTCTGTGTTCTTTATTGGAACCTGACCAGGAAAAGCCTCTTCCTACAAACAGGTGTGAGTTTGTGTCCTTTCAGTGATAAAGATCCAGGTGGCCTTCTACTTATACCTGAGAAAAGTGACCTTGCTGGCATGAACATTGGTGAAGTCCTAGCTGTCATGAATACCCTCCTTTCTGTGGCTGCTTGAGAGGTACACCCTGTTTTCTTCTCCATTCTTTACCTCATGCTTCTTTAAGAGTATGTGATAAGACAGTTACTGTGGGTTTTTTTTGGAGGGTGGGTGGGATTGATGGTACTGGCTTTGAAATCACTGCCTCATTCTTGCTAAGCAAGTGCCCTACCACCTTAGCTGTGCCTCTTAGCCCTTTTTACTCCTGTCATTGTGAGGATAGTGTCTCAGTTTTTGCATGGTCTGGACTGAGATCCTCCTGGTCCTGGTCTCCCAAGTAACTATAGTGGCAAGCAGGTACACCCCAAGCTATCATTTAAGGTAAGATATAGTGAACATTTTTCTGAGTGTTCCTTGAACTACAGCTGCGATTATAGCATGATCTACCATACCTTGCTACAGTCTTAACTTTTTTAGTATTGTTTTTGCCATCACATCAGTTTTCTCTCATATGTCTAGACTATTCTGCCCATCTCTGTGTCCTCCTTAAAATTCTCACTACAAGATCATTGATATGTGCTGTCTTTCCAGTTCACCACGGATCATGCTGATCTCCATTGTTATTTCTGCCATTTTCTATACTTTCTCTTTCTCTTGTAGCATATCTCAATCCTGCATATTCTTCAACCTCTAAAAACTTCTTCAAGTTCTTACCATTCTCAGTCAAAGCCACTGAGAGAAAACTTCAGGGTTCTCATAAGTTGATAGATACAGGATCTCAAGATGCTGGAACAACACTGAAACCTGGCTCTTCAACTGGGCCATTCAACTCTGAAATCCCACTGACTGTCCAAGAGAGTTTCCCATAATCCCTTACCACTGCGACATCAAGTACTTGACCTTTCTTCCCTTTCTCTCATCTGTGATACAGAGGAAATTGCATATACAATTAAACTTTCTAGGCCAGAGATTATTGCAGCCACTGAATTATCTTCTTATAAAAGCAAGCATTTATGGTTATAGGGAGGGAGATAGACAGAGTTACATTAGGAGAAAAAAAAGTAAAAATGGTCTAAAGTACACCTAGCCTGAGCTTTATTCTCATGTCTGTTAGTTCAACAATGCCTACCCAATGCCTGTTGTGTGTGAGGCCCCACGTTAGGTACTGAGGATACAATGATAGAGGAGCCCAAACAAATGTGTGATTACATAGTTTTGTACATACATCAGGCTGTCAAAGGATGAGCACAGGTCTAGGGAGAGGGAAGGCAACTAGGGAAAAATATTTTGGAAAACAATTGCTGAGCTCAGTGAAGGACTTTGAATAGGCTTAAACAAGCAAAGAGGAAGTTAGAGACATTTCAAATGGAAGAAGGTACACCTACAGTGGGCCTGTGATAAATGGAAGGAACAGGTTACTAAAAAGGGGTTGATAATGGGTAGATTCTGAACACGTGGTATTCATGGTTTTAGTGGCCTTAAGGTGGTAAGACCTAGTTGCATTCTCAAGATAGAAATTGTGGCTAAATTGAGCTGCAGAGCTGAGGGACAGCGCCCAGGCCCAGAGTTCAAGCCCCACAACCAGACCCAAAAAAAGAAAGAAAGAAAGAAATTGTGGCTAAAGATTTGTAACCAGTAACGAACAGGAAGTCATGATTGGGGACTGCCTCACATCACTCATGGGCATCTTGAGGAAATCTACAAGGAAGGTAACCAGGACAGTAGGAAGGAGTGTCAGGAAGAAATTCTGGCAGAGAAAGGGAAAGAACTTAAAGAGGGCCAGAGTTTGCAGAGCCTGAGGTTCAGTGGAGAGGCTTTGCTCTCCAAGTGGTAACTGGGAATGATCCAATAGAGACAGTAGAATGGGACTAAAGGAAAAGCAAAGCCACAGCATGAAGGGACCATTTCAAAATGTGGTTCACACACAAAAGAATAGATATGGAGGGACAATAAGTGAAAACAATTCTCTGTAGTGTCATTCTTAAGTGTGTGTTCACAGGTTCCTTGTTTTTCTTTCTAGTCATCCCTGTACAATGTGTTGGTTATTGCTTTTTTTTTTTTTAACCTTGATAGCATACAATCTTCTGTGAAATATTTGATTTGTTTAACAATGTTTTTGAGGTTCATTCATGTGTTGTCATTTGTATTCACTGGTGTACCACAATAGTCTCTTTATGACATACCATAATTATCTGCTTAACTTGGAGAGGCATATGGGTTGACTCTAGTTTGGAGGAATTAATTACAGACAGTGCTAATATTAGCATATTTCATAGTTTTTTGTTTTGTTTTGTTTTGTTGGTTGTGGGGCTTGAACTCTGGGCTTGGGCGCTGTCCCTCAGCTCTTCAACTCACGGCTAGCGCTCTACCATGTGAGCCACAGTGCCACTTCTGGTTTTCTGGTGGTTTATTGGAGATAAGAATCTCACAGCCTTTCCTGCCTGGGCTGGCTTTGAACCACAATTCTCAGATCTCAGCCTCCTGAGTAGGTAGTGTTATAGGTGTGAGCCAACAGCATTTGGCACTTCATAGTTCTTCTTCTTCTTCTTCTTTTTTTTTTTTTTGTTGGTCGTGGGGCTTGAACTCTGGGCATGGGCGCTGTCCCTGTGATCTTCAACTCAAGGGGAGCACTACCACTTGAGCCACAGTGCCACTTCTGGTTTTCTGGTGATTTATTGGAGATAAGAGTCTAACGACTTTTCTTCCCAGGCTGGCTTTGAACTGCGATCTTCAGATCTCAGCCTCCTCATTATCTAGGATTATAGGCCTGAGCCACTGATGCCCGGCTACTTGATAATTCTTCTTCTTTATTTTTTTTTTGTATGTCGTTCGTAGGGCCTGAACTCTGGGTCTGGGTGCTGTCCCTCAGCTCTTCAGCTGTAGACTAGCACTCTACCACTTGAGTCTCAGCCCTACTTCCAGATTTTTCTGCTTATGTGGTGCTGAGGAATCGAACTGAGGGCCTCAAGCATGCAAGGCAAGCACTCTACCACTGAGTCACCTTCCCAGTTCCAACTTCATAATTCTTATGTGACAGACCCTCTGGAGGTTAGATGCCCCTTCAGAGAAAGTCCAAAGAACAAAGATGACAAAGAGTTACAAAAAGATAATGAATTATTTTCAAGTAGGTTTTTAAAATAAAATTAAAAAGTGGGAAAATCCCATCTTCCCTTCCAATATACAGGCACAATTTTTTTTCAGGCACACAAAAAAATCAGACACAAATTGAATGGACATTTCTAAAGTTTGGGCTCATTAGTATACATGTTCATCTTCAACAGACATCTCTAAGCATTTTCAATGGTAGGAAGATTACAAGCTACTTGGCTACTTCTTTCATATACAAATTCTAAATTATGTAGTCATTTAGTCAATTCTCCTAACTTAAAATATTATGTTTTCTAAAAACATCCTCCTTATAGAGAGATTCCACACAGTGGTCCAATTTCAATCCTTTGGAAATTACGCTTTTAAAAATTAAAGGTTGGGCTGGGAATGTGGCTTTGTGCTAGAGTGCTTGTCTAGCATCCAGGAAGCCTGGGATTTGATTCCTCATTACCACATATATAGAAAAAGCCAGAAATGGTGGTGTGGCTCAAGTGGTAGAGTGCTAGCCATGAGCAAAAGAAGCTGTGGGACAGTGCCCAGGTCCTGAGTTCAAGTCCCGGACTGGCAAAATAAAAATTAAAAAAAAAAATTAAAGGTTTCACCAGGTGCGAGATTACAGCTAATCAGACAGCTGAGATCCAAGCCAGTCTGGGCAGGAAAGAATATAAGAATTTTTTATCTCCAATTAACCACATCTTTTCCCCCCACTCCCCAGAAAAGCCAGAAGTAGAGATGTGGTTCAAGTAATAGAGCAGTAGTAACCTCAAGCAAAAAAGCTGAGGGACAGCACTCAGGTCTTTAGCTCATGCTCCAGAACTGCCACCAAAAGAACAAATAAATGCTTCTGTTTTTTTTAGTGATATATATTTACCATTTAAAACAATATGTAGCTCCTAGTTCTTCAAATACCTTGACACTAGTCTTTAGCCTGAAATTAGACATACTTTTCCAAAAATGAAGAGCTAACATTTAGTGAGATCACTGCCCCCAGTCACACAATATCAGTGATATCACTAGCAATTCTGTTTTTGTTGTTGTTATTGTTGTTTAAGCCTAGTAAAGAGGTCACATGACTATAGCATAACAATTTTTGATGTTTGAATTTATATTTTCATTTTCAAATGAATTGCTCGAAAATGTGATTTTCCTATTGTTGTCCTTCAATGATGGATTATCTTTATTTTTTCCATATTTTATTATCAATTTGTGGTACAGGGTAGATTTATTTTGACATGTCCATTTACTCATACAATGTAGGGGCTGGGAAGATGGCTCAGTGGTAGAGTGCTTGCGTTGCATGCATGAGGCCCTGGATTTGATTTCTCAGCACCACATAATCAGAAAAAGCCAGATGTGGCATTGTGGCACAAGCAGTAGAGGTCTAACCTTGAGCTGAAAAGCTGAGGGACAGCGCCCAGGCCCAGAGTGCAGGCCCTACGACTGACAAAAACAAAACAAAATAAAACTCATGCAATGTACCTTGATCAAACTCACACCTTCTTTTCAACTCTCCCTCAACCCTGCTAGCAAGAGAGTTGATTGAAGACTCAGGAGAAGGGCCCAGAGACAGAAGATTCATTACAAGAAAGAGATGAACAATGGGGTGGGCTTCTTGGGGTGCAGAAGATGTCTTGTGGAACAAAAAGAATATTTATAGGTTCCACAAAACTGCAGAGCAATAGGGAAGTTTTCCTAACACCATTTTTCTTGGTTCACTTCTGGATTGAAAGCTCTTTCATAACTTTGCCCCATACACATAGGTTTTTTTTTTGTTTTTGCTTTGCCAGTGACAGCTGCTTCTATAGAGATATTTCCTGCCCAAGTTCTGGGAACATTATTTGGACATTTCCTGTTTGTCTGTTTCTTTGTAGTGTGAGCTGTTGATGCTCAGTGAGGCACCAGGGGAAGTTGGCTCTGTGCTCTTTTTTTCTGTTCTGATCTGTGCAAGGTAGCCTGCTCTCCTGGTGTTATCTGCAACTGAAAAGCACAGACTCTGGAGCCAAAGATCTTACAGTGAACCTTATAGAAAAATGTGAGTATCAATATACAATCCATGGAAACAGATAATTATAACTCATGCATCAAGTATGTGTATGGCTTATTTCAGTTCAGATCTATAGTTATTTCTGCTTTTGTTTTTGTTATTTGGAAGTTTTTGTTTTGTTGAGACAATATCTCACTATGTAGCTGAGGAATGCCCTGAACTCGTGACTCTCTTGCCTCAGCCTCTCAAGTGCTGAAATTACAAGCCTGTGTCACCACCTTGTTCAGCTTATTTTTGTCTTTTTTTGTGCCATTTCTGGGTCTTGAACCTAGGGCCTGATTGCTGAGCTTTTTTACCTAAGGCTAGTGCTCTACTTGAGCCACAGCACCCCTTCCAGGTCTTTTGCTGGTTAATTGGAGATCAGAGTCAAGTTGGCATAGAACCCCAGTCCTCATATCTCAGTCTCCTGAGTAGCTAGGATTACATGCATGAGCCACCAGTGCCTAGCCTTTTTTTCTTCTTTTGCTGGGAGTGGGGGGGGGGGTGCCAGTACTTGAACTTAGGGCCCAGGCACTTTCCCTTAGCTTTTTGCTCAAGATGAGGACACTGACACTTGACACAGTTCTACTTCTGGCTTTTTGCTTGTTAGCTAGAGATAGAGTCTCATGGACTTTCCTGCCTGGGCTGGCTTCAAACTTTGATCCTCAGATTTCAGCCTGCTGAGTAGCTAGGATTACAGTTATGAGCCATTAGCACTAGTGTTTTTATTTAGAATTTGGTCATTCTACTGCCTAGTCATTCTCTTTGCAATCATACAGCACTCTTAAATGATATTATTCCATGTCAGGGGAGTCTTCCATCTCTGTTAATCATCACCCAGAAAAGAAAGTATTGAGCCTTTAAAATCTATGACTTTTATAAGTCATTGAAAATATTGATTCTTGTTTCCTGTAAATCGACCGAAAATTGTATGAAATCCAACAGATGGTGAGAAATTGACTATGCACTTCTGCCAAATTTGTTCTCAGCAATTATGACAAAATGTTTAGAGTTCTGGATCAGGCCACTTAGGCCTTGGCTTTAGATCAGAACCCTTGATTCATGGACACATTGTAAACTAAAGGAAAGGGAAGGGTAAGAGCTGACTCATTTGGTCAATTTTTCTTATTTTTCCCTTTTCCTTCCCCCTCCCTCTTCTTTTACCCTTTTCCTTTTCCCTTCCCCTCTCCCTTTCTGTTTCACTCCTTCATAGTACTGTATTTGAATTCAGGGCTTTGTGTTTGCTAAGCATGTATAACTCAGCCACACCCCCTTTTTTACTTATTTTCCAAATAGAGTATTACATTTATGTCTGGGCCAGCTTTGATGGCAAATTTCCTATTTGTACTTCCCAAATATCTGGAACTACAAATATATAATCACACGTTCAGATTTTTATTGGTTGAAATGAGGTTGCTCAAGATGAGTTCTCTCAAACTTCTTGTCTAGGCTGACCTTAAACTGCAGTACTCCCAAGTAGCTAGGACTACAGGCAGCACCACTTCTTTTTAGATAAGTTTTCACTGTGTAGCCCATACTGGCCTTGAACTTGCTGTCTACCCAGACTGCTCTTGAAATCTCAGTTCTTCCTCAGCCTTCTGAGTGCTGGGATCAGATATAACTTAGAGTGATATCTCCACTTCATTGAAAAGCAACCAAAAAACTCACCTTAAACTTAACTATCACTCATACCAACTACTGCAGTTTTCACTGCTTTTCCCTTTCAGAGGTAATTAAATTGACATTGTTCATTTGGATGATGCTTAATGGTCTTGTGATCTGCTGCTTCCTTCTCCCTGCTTTGGTAGTCAGCTTCTATAGCCCTCCCTAGCTTTGCACTTGATAATAATATGGTAAATGATGTTCTTACCATATAAAATATTAACTACTTTATGTTTTGATAGATGTGGGACAGTTTCTGGTAAGCATGAGAGTGATTTTAGAATCCCTTTTGTCACAGTATAGTGGAAAAAACATAGTAGAAAAACTGTGTAGGCCTGGAAAGGTGGTTCAGTGGTAGAGCACTTGCCTTGCATGCATGAGGCCCTAGGTTCGATTCCTCAACACCACATAAGCAAAAAGAAAAAAGCCAGAAGTGGCGCTGTGGCTCAAGTGGTAGAGCGCTAACCTTGAGCTGAAGAGCTGAGGGACAGCGCCCAGGCCCAGAGTTCAGGCCCCACGACCAGAACCCCCCCCCCCCCAAAAAAAAGAAAAACTGTGTAATTCAGTGTTTTCCATGGCAGCTAGTCAACTGGTAAGGAGAAGTGGCTATTTTCAATAAGCAGGGAGGGGGCTGGTGGAAATACCAGCATGAGCAATGAATACTGAGTACTTCCTTCATCTTCCTTTAGCTCATCTTTCTCCTAGACTTCTGTTCTTTGGACATTTCACAATGTACTCTCTTGAGAGAGTTCAGTACCTTAACAGAGCTGTTGAAGAAGCTCTGCAATGACCCTGAAGGAGGACTGAGCAAGGTAACTTCAGTTGGCCCTGAACCTGTATTGCTTCCTCTCTTCAGAGAGATATGACTCTACCATATAAAACATACTGGACTACAGATATATACAAATAAGTTGCCTCTAGAAGCTTTATTGGTATTTTTGCCAACAAGGATAGTAAATATCATCTTGATTTGTCATTAGCACTAGAAAGGAGGCCGAAAAGCTGTATAATTTATCTAATCATTTTAGGTTATATTAAGTTACATAAAATCTATGTAAATAAAGTCTGAAAGATTTGTCTAGCCAGGTGCTTGTAGCTCATACATGTAATACTAACTACTCAGGAGTTGAGATCTGAGGATCTCAATTTGAAGCCAGTGTAGGCAGGAAAGCCTGTGAGACTCTTATTTCCAAATAACCAGTTGGGGGAGGGGGCAGATGAGGAGGGGTAGGCTTGAGCTGTGGCTCAAGTGGTGGAGTGCTAGTCTTGAATGAAAAAGCTCAGGGACAGCACCAAGACCCTGAGTTCAAGCCCCATGACAGGCACACACACACACACACAATGAAGTCTAAAAGAGAAAATGTACATGGAAAGAAAAATAAGAAGGTTTAGTATTTAAAAGAATTATCTCCCGGAGGTTCCGGGAAGATGGCGGAGGAGAAGCTGGAATCTGAACAAGCTCTCGCATAGAAAGCAGATTTAGAGTTCCAGTGAACAGTCCTAAGCCAGAGAATCACACCAAGTGTGCCATCACAGAACAGAGAGTTAGACAAGAGAGAGGAAGCCAAGACAAGGAGATACATCTGAGCGCCTGTCAGCAGCCGCCGTGGCGGCGGCAAGGTCGCAGCAGCAACCGCAGCTGCGGCCATACCTGAGCGCTCACACAGAGAGTCCGGGACGAAGGAGCCAGATGCAGCGGGTGAGAGAATTCTACTCAACACCAGCAAGTACCGACAAGGAGCGGATATCTTCATCCTGCAGTTTGCAGACCAGAGACGACCCAGGATCCAAGACTCGGCGTGAGTACAAGCCTGACATCCACGCTCCTTCTCAGGGAGCAGAGGAGGGAAGGCCACCCCTCCCCCCCAGCACTGGTGATCTCCATCTTGGATACCGACAAAGCTCGGAGGAGCTGCCAGCTCCAACTCAGGCCTTGGAATAAAACGAGTCATTTAGCAGGTCACAAGAACTTAACGGCGAAGTGACCTGCCAGACTCAGCTCCATCCAGGGAAAAGTCACCCAGCTCAGGCACCAGCCATTGGAGTGGCTTTCTTCACTGGGTAACCAGAGCCAGAGGCTGCCCCTCCCTCTAGCAGCCTCTGCAATCAATTGAAAAACAGAAACCCTGAGAATGGCTCCAGGCTGGGCTCTGTGAGTTTTTCACAAAATAGCCCCAGGGAAAAGCTACTGTTTGTTGAAAGGCCTCAACTCTACCAGAACCTAGCTTCATCACCCCTCTTTTGTGATTCTCAAAGCAGATCACCCTCCCATTAAACTAATCTGGGAGGGGGATCTCAAAATCTTGGGTAAAGCAGAGCATTTTTCTGCCTGTTCGAACAAACTGACTTAAGAAACAAATCAAGCCACAGGACCTTAAGCTGACCAGAGACTCCAACAGGAGCCTGGGTACAGACAAAAGGGAGATACAGGATTTTCCCACCTCTCCCAAAAAAATCAAAAAAAAAAAAATCAAAGAACTTTTTTTTTCTTCTTTTCTTTTTTCTTTTTTTCTTTTGGTACCTTATATATATATAATTTTTTTTTCCTTTTCTAAAACTTTTATTAATCTTTAATTTTTGCCTTTTTTGAAAAAATAATTATTTTCCAGTAACTTTTTTTTCCCTCTTATAATTTTTATTTTAGGAATACCTGAATGTGCGTTTTCCTTTCTTTTCTTGTCTTCTTTCTCTTTTTCTTTCTTTCTTAATTATCATTTTGTTTTTTGTCTAGCTCTACTGAACTTCTGATCTTTGTTTTCTCCCTTTCTTATCCATTTCACCTTTCCCTCTCTTTTGTTCTTCTGTATGTGACTTAACTCTTGTCCTGCACATCCTCAGATAAACCCATAGTTAAGTAGTAGACCCTATCCCCCATTGTGTACACACTTAGTCCACAAATTTATTACTTAATCCAAAACCTCTGAGACTTGAATTCCTTAATAGCAGTACTACCTCTTTATACCTATATAATATTTTAAGCATTTTTTTAAGTTTTCACATTTCCTCTATCTCCCTCCTGTTTTCTCAATATATTCACATTCCTCTCTAAATAGATAGTCTTTCAATCCCCATAACAATATTAATTTTTACGTTTCTGTTTTTTTTTTTCTGGTCTCTTTTCATTTCCCTTTCCCTTTCTTCTTTTTTTCTCTCTCTCTACTTGCATCCTACCCAACCTATTTCCTGCATTGAGATTAGGACATAGTTAACTCTCCCTGTGCCTCCCCACACCAATCTAT